AAAATCTGTGAATGTCAATAAGCTCATTTTTTTGTTTTGTTTTGGCAGCACTGGGGTTCGAATTCAGGGCCTCATGCTTGCTAATCAGGCACTCTTACCTCTTGAGCCACTCCCAATAAGCTCATTTCAAGTGAAAAATGGCATGAGAAGGACATTTTGTTATGGTATTTTTAAATCAAAAGTTGGAAAAATTTAAGAACGTATTTAGCACAAAAGCAAGTTATAAATATCAGCATAACAATGTTCTCTGAAAATTCCAGATTCTGTAAAGAGTGAATCATTTTCTTAACTAAAAATGCAAGTAAAATTTCAAGAGAGATGCCCTGTTGGTTTTGACTGGATATTCATATAAACTTTTTAAAGAGATGAGTGATAGAGCTAAAAAAAATAAATAAATAAATAAATAAATAATAAAAGTGCAAGTAAATATTCAGCAACCAACTGAATTCATCCAGTATTTTAAACAGAGATGAATACCACAAGCCTAATCATACATTAAAATATTAAACAAGAATAATCTGAAAAATAATCAGAATTTGAAAAAATGAGAAATTAAATCATTTGAAAACAACTGCAATAAGTAGACTTTTCCTTGGCTGAAGTACTACTATTTTTCAACTTATTTGGGAGCCGAGACTGAATTGTAATGAATAGATCAGGACTCAAAAAAAAAAAAAAAAACCATGTATAAGCCAGGCACAGGTGGCTCATGCCTGCAATCCTAGCTACTCAAGACAAGAGATCAGAAGGATCATGGTCTGAAGCCAGACAGGGCAAATAGTTCGTGAAACCCTATCTCGATAAAAACCCCAACATATAAAAAAAAAAGGGGCTAGCAGAGTGGTTTAAGTGGTAGAACGCCTGCCTAGTGAGCATGAGGCCCTGAGTTCAAACCCCAGCACCAGCAAAAGAAAAAAAGAGTATAGCAAAATTCAAAATCTAAAAATTGCAATTCTGAATTTATGTTGTATACATCTGTCACTTTTTTCCTTACAACTGCAAGACTGATATTTGTATTTTGAGGATATGAACTCATGCCTTCTCGGGTCTGTTGACTTAATAGCAGCCTGACATGTTAAAAATACCAATAGCTTAAAAATCTTTCCATTATAACATTCAGGTTGGCAATCAGAAGTTTAATTCAACTTCTTCCACCTGAAGCTGTCGCAACCTAATTTTATTTCTGTAGTACATCCAAAGCATTTATAACCATTATTTTCCTCACTACTACTCCATGAGGGAAGAATGGAAAAATTTACAAATGACAAAACTGAAGATCAAATAACATATATACGACAGTGCAATTCCTTAATGTTCCAGCACAGTAAATATACATTTTATCACATTTTTAGTTTGCTTTCTCTTCTTAAAAATTAACTGCCCCATCATCATTTTTTAATAGAGTTCTGTCTTCTCTGGTCAAGCATAAGGAGTTAAATTGTCAAAACTTCAAAACATAGGGTTAGAGATACAGTTTAGTGGTAGAGCACCTGGTCTCAATATTCAACACCAGAATAAAAATTCAAAATGTTACGTATTTTAATATACTTATTTTATATTTCCTAATTTTTTCCACAAAACCTATGTATGATTTTTAAGGTTGTTTTTTACTTTTTGTGAAAATATTTTCAGTTTGAAACATTTACATAAAAATACATTCTTAAAACTAAAATAAATCAATTTCTCATACAATAATTTGTATTGTATAACCTGAATAATATCATTATTTCCACACTTCCCCAATTCAGTCTTTCCTTATTTATTCCTAACCCACAAAGGTCTTCCGCAGTCCTAAGTTTTATGCATCATTCAACTTCAAGATTCTGTCTTCACAGGGCAAGTAAGCTCCTATGTCTGTATTTATTTCCCATAGTTCTCAGTGGAGTACACCCAGTAGACAAATGTTTACTGACTGAATATAGTTCTTGAGATCACATACAGGAAAGGTAGTAAGAAACTTCCTAACCATCTACTGATTTGAAAGCCCTGTTTGGTTTGCTTCTGAAGTTTCAGACTGAAAATAGAACGTGGCACATAGCAGGCATCAACCACTATTTATTGACTTAAAAATCTCTCAGTGTCTTTAAATGTAGGAAGTTCTGAAGCAACTCATCCTCTCCCTTACAACACCATGAAGATGCATTAAGAGACTACACTAGCTTCCTCCTTTTCTTCTAGTCTTACAAATTGTTTACATATACCACACTAACTTAAGGTTGTTCAGTACTGGGAATACCCTTAATTAAAACAAGCAAGACAGAAAAAAACAACAAAAATCAACAGTTAACCCTAGCATAGTCATCTAATTTCCAAGACAAATTTGGGGACCTTCCTTCCCACTTGTTTGAGTGACCTGCTTTTTGAACTGGTCATGAATACAGCACAGATCTCAAGCTCACTAAGAGACCACCTGAAGATGCGCACATTTTAGCCTGTAGAATCCTAAGATCCTCAAAAAATGCCTCAACACAACAGTGATGAGGTTAAGGCAGACCATACCTTTCCACCTGCTATTCCCATATGCAGTCTGGGTTCTACTATTCCTTGTAGAAATAACTCAAAACTAATCCCGCAGCTTTGAGCATATTCTAGAGACAATAATCAGGATGGGATGAGAACCTACAAAGGGTCCTTTTATTCATGTCCTATAAAGAAATGTCTCCCAAGTCCCCAAGCTCAACCCTGCCCCAGACCCATTTTTTTTCATCTTGAAAGGCTGACTGCGACCAGAGAAGATACAGAATCTAAATAATAGCCATGAAACATCTTCCACACTTATTTAAGACCTAGTTCAAATTTTACCTGTCATTCACCTCCTATTTATGTATTTATTTTTGTGGTACTGGGGGTTGAACTCAGGCCCTTCACCTTGAGCGCTCAATTTTTTGTGATAGGGTTTTTTGAGATAGGTTCTCGAGAACTTGCCTGGGGCTGGCTTTGAACAAGATCCTCCTGATCTCTGCCTCCTGAGTAGCTAGGATTGCAGGTGTGAGCCACCAGCACCCAGCTTTCACCTCCAATTTAAACTGCTGAACTTATTTAGTCTATTTACAATGTATAAGGAACAGTTAGCCACTCATTTAAGAAATGTCCCTTTGTATAAAAAGTCTAGAATTTTTAAAGTGCTAACCATTTTTACAGTCCCATGAATTTCCAATTAACGTCAGTAGTTTAGAATGTATATTTAATAGTCTTAATATGTCTCTTTAGAATCAACCTTTCTCCTTGCTTTCATGAAATGCTGTAAATACAACTGAAATACATTTTGAAAGCAATAGTACTTGATTTGAAAATAACTTCCTTTTTTAAAAAAAAATCTATTTCACACTAATCTATACAGACTTCTCAGCCAAGTAAATAGCAAAGCAGACATTCTACTGGGTGTAAGCAGACACGGTAAGGTTAAGTGTCTGAAGAACAGATGACTAAATCATTGACAAGGGAAAAAACCCAGACGTCAGGGCACAAAATAGAATCTGAAGTTCTAAGCAGACCATTCAGGCTATGAAAGAGAAAGTACTTGAAGAACTGATCAGCATTTACTTAGTGAACAATGTGATAAGCATACTAAAGGTGAAATAGGTAGACTTTGATCTGAAACTTGACATGTACCTGCAATTACAAGGAGCTGTATCGTGGGGTGTTCTAGATTTTCCCCCAAGTCTACTGTTAGTGACCATGTTGACTACTGACTAGCCAGGAAAGAATACCTGTTTGTGTTCTGCCTTCAAAGCTTTGCCATTGCTCATGCACACAAAAACAATAATGGTAAAATGACCCAGCAAGTACCTATGTTAGTGATCACAAACGGCCTCTCTATTCCAAGGATGTAACCGAATCTTGCACAGATGGCTTAGCTCTCTGCTAATGCAGAGGAACTGGGTTTATTTTCAGGGTAGGGGCTGCAAAGCACCAGGTGTATTTACAGAAGGGAGCAAGGCTATGATGGAGGGAGGATGACAAAGAGGAAGTTTATTCCCTGCAGTAGAGGCAGCCTGCAGAAAGATCTGGATTCCACAGCATAGGTTCCACTCCTAACCACCAACTAGGAAAACTTATTAAAACCTTTCCGGTCCGTTACTTTGTGTATCAAATTTAGACAACTCCCCTTGCCTCTGATGATGGTTAGAATGACTAATGTCGTGTTTGTAAAAACTGAGGATGTAACAGGCATTCAATAAAATCAACTTGCCTTCCTCCTGTTCTCCCAGAATTGAGCCTCAAAAATCACAAAGAGCCTCCAGCTTTAAAACTAAGAGGCCTAAGCTAGTCAGCTGGGGGTGGGGGGAGAAGAAGGAACACTTGGGTGGAGGCTTATTTACTGTAGGGCTTCTCTTAAAATGGAATTAGGATATTGATAAGGGTGGGGAGGAGGGGGACACATGGGAAGGCATCAAGTATAAGTAAACCTGGCAACAGCATCAACAAAAACACATCCCTTTGTAGAAGCATGAAACAAACTTCGGAAGCTGCGGATGTCCTGTGAGCCTACCCGGTGGCCTCAATTCAAATTACAAGAGCAGGCAGAGCTGGCCAAGCAGCACACCATCCATATGCTGCCTCTCCGGCTTCAAACCACGCTATTCTGCAAAACTGGGCTCAAACCCCGGGGCGGCTCCCGCCTCCAAACCCGCTCCAGATGGATTTGGAAGCCTGGAGCAAGCGACAGAAGGGATCGGGATACACAAGTGGGGGGGAGGGTCTGGCTAAAGGCCTGAAAACGCAGGGCGGCGGGTGAGGGTGGGCTGGAGCGATGTGGCAGGGACGCGGCCAGCGAGCATGGAAGACAGAGGCTTCACAATGAGGGAAAGGGACTGCGACAGGCGCGGGCTCCATGCAGGTCCCGGGCGGCGGCTGATGGCCAGGCCGGGGGCGCAGAGTGGGAAGGGCGCGCAGGATGAAGCAAGCGAGCGAGCCCCTGGCCAGGCAGCGAAGGAGCGAGTAGCACCCCAGCAGGTGCAAAGCCCCCGGGCGACAAGGACCGGGCTTGGGATACTCACGGTGTACAGCAGGTTGAGGGCGCACAGGCAGTTCTTGGAGCACGCAAAGCCCCCGCAAACCATCTTGAAGCCTGTGGTCGCGGTCGCTGCAGGTAAATTCGACTTCGGCGGAGCCTTCCAGGCCGCCGCGGGGTCCTCGCCTTCGCGGCCGGGCCCAGGCGGGGCGCGCGGTGGAAGGAGGCCAGGGAACGGGGCTACAGTGCCCGGCGCGCCCGAGGCGGCTGCAACGCGCTCTAGAACCTGCGGCCGCCGCTGCGGCTCCGACCCGGACGGAGCCCCGCCCAGCCGGCCCGCCTCGCCCCGCGCGCTGATTGGCCGCTGGCCGGGAACAAAGGTAGAAATATGCAAAGAAAGGCGCTCAGCCAGCCGGGATCCGGGAGGGGCGGGGCCGCTCTGACCCAGGGTTGGGGGCTGAGGCTGTTGCGGAGGGAGCGGAGGCCGGAGCTGTGACCGCAGCCGCTGTGTCATTTCCCCCGGAGCAGGTGAGGAGCAGGGGGCGGGGCTCCGCGGAGATCCACGCTGGCAGGGACAGCTATGACAGCACCTCTTGATTCTTGGCTTCGGCGGATGACGTGGCACCGTTTTGAACGAGACTTTAAAATTCAGCACCTGGCCTTGTTTGAATGAAAGAAGGAAGGAAAGCAAGATTTAAAAGAGAGAACGAGAAAGGGCGCAGGGATGGAGGAATATGATCGAAGTGTTTTCTAAGCATGTATGAAATGCATGAAAATTGGTTTTAAAAGGGGAAGGGGATAAAAAAGACTAATAGAGGGGTGAATTTAATCATAATACATTACAGGCATGTATGGAAATATCACAATGAATCCCCTTTGTACAATTAATGTACGCTAATAGAAAAAAAGCGGATGTATTTCAGCACCAAAAAAAAAAAAAAGGAGAATGAAGTGGGGACAAAAGAAAGGAAAGAAAAATAAGCGAAACAATAAAAGGAGCAAATAAAATCTGTTTCTCTAGGAACATAGGTAGGAAATATGGCCTATGATTGTGATGGGTGTCAGTTCAAGACTTATTCTATAGGGATTTGCAAGATACTAATAAACTATTAATCCATACATGCAAAAGAAAATCAGGAGTGATTACTTTTGTGGTCCAGTCCTGAATTTCAATATGCTTGTTTTTGTACAAATTAAGAGCCGAGCCGTAAAGATCTTTAAATAAGTCTCTCAGCTAATTCACTGTCGCTTCATTGCTTGTCTACCACTATCCTCAGTTCTTCACCTGTAACTGGAATATGAAAAGTACGTCAAGCACTTTTTGCATAGAACCAGGCACAGAGTACAGGCTCAATAAATGTCAGCCTAACATTTTTTAAACACCTGGTTTGTTCCCAGCATTAAGCTAAGCCAATAAAGGGTTGGTTATTTCATAGTACCTTCCGCCAATAAAAGATTTTATAAAGAGATTATCAAGTTTTACAATACTTATATGGAACTTAAAGTTTCATATTAAGTAAGTTATGTGAATGTAAATGCAAATATTTTAAATAAAACATCTATTTAAACATGCTACTTAAAATAATTTGTCTTCTTCGACTACTCCACTATTTCTTCCAACCTTTTCTTACCTTCTCCATCCTCACCATATCAACAAAGCCTCACTGAGTCTGTCTTTTGTAATATACATTAACCTTTTATGTACACCCAGAAATATTCCAAAAATGAATCTAGAAAATGGCCCTCAAGTCCAAGCAATATCTTGATACTCAGCTTTCCTTTTAGGAAGTGAGGGTTTGAACTCAGGGCCTCACACTTGGCACTCTACTATTTGAGTGATGCCTTCAGCTTCTCACCCTTCCTTTTTAAAATCCAGAAGTTTACTAAAGAAGAGGGATTGGCAAGCAAATTTAAGACAGCTACATCAGCCGCCAAATAAAAAAGGGGTATACCATTCTCTTGAGTAAATACCAACTTGAATCTAAATTTATCTTTTATACACACTCTCTGATGCACAACTGCAAATTATGAAAGACTTGGATGATCAAGAAAATTTGAAGATCAAAAGAAGACTTTCTAACACTTGAAGAGATTGCTAAACCCTCTTCTTTCCCCTCTCCTTCCCTGCTTTCCTTTCTCTCTTTCTCCTTCTCCTCTGCCCCATTCTTCTAATGTCTCTTTCCTCTCCTTCCCTTTTTCCTCCTCCTTCATCCTCTTTTAGTACTTTTTTGAACCAGGGCAAAAGAAGAATTCTTGTACTTTATACCAGGTCTTCAGAGAGTCCAAATGGGAAGAATGGGTTAGGTTTGCAAAGATTAATTGGGCGAAGACTGGAAGAGTGTCTCAAGAGGTAAGAGCACCTGCCTAGCAAGGGTGAGGCCCTGAGTTCAAACCCCAGTACCATCAAAAACAAATAAAACAAGCAAACAGAAAATGTTAGAGATTAATTAGGAGAAATCTCTGAGGAAATATAGGGAGGGAACTGTAAGAGGCTGGGAGAGCTAAATGCCACCATGCAAGTATGATAGCTGTGAAGGAGCAAGAGAAGGAAGAAAAGGGAGAAAAGTCAGAAGAGAGAGAGAGAGGAAGGAAAAAAGGGTCTAAGACTGGTGATGGAGTTTTAAGATTTGACAAAGGCTGGCTAGGTTTGGGTATTTCATGTGATGAAATTTAATCCCCATTGTGAATTATTAAGAAAGCAGATGCTGGCAGAGTGGTTCAAGTGGTAGAATGCCTGCATAGCAAGTGTAAGGCCCTGAGTTCAACCCCAGTACCACCAAAAAAGAAAAGAAGGCAGAAACTTGATCTGACTATACTCTTTGAGAGATGACTGAGATTGGATAAGGTTATTGGGGCAGAGTCCCATCATTTAATCTTGATAGCTTTATAAAAAGAGGGAAAGAGACACAGATGTATATGAGTGTCCTCCATCTGGTAATACCATGTGCTGCTGAGAGACTTGCCAGCAAGAAGGCCATCACCAGATGAAGCCCCTTTGCCTTGTACCTACACCTGCTGAGACAAAATGAACGTCTTTTTTATAAAACTTACCCAGTCGGTGGTAGAGTGTTATTGGCAACAGAAAATGGACTAACACAGATGCCAAAAGGAAGTCTCTGAGCCAAACTCAGATGCTCCAGAAATCCTGCACACCTCCCTGGAATGCTTGCCTCTGATGGGAGCTACACTCAGCCATTGGCTGAATCCATCTCTAGGACAGATTTCAGAGCATACCACTGGGGCTGGCTTCAATCCTCCTCTCCACAGTAGATCCGAGAAGGGCATTTTCCTGAAAAAAAAAAATTCTGATTACATTTGTCCCTTTATGATCTACAAACATTTTTTCTAGTTACATTTCAAACCAATGTTCAGTTTGTAGTCCTCATCATTTTATCAAGTAAGGAAATTCTCTCTTTGGTTAATCCATTTCAGAGTCTAATAACCTTTACTTAAAAACTCATTCTTTGTGATTTAGGTTTAGTTTGACATCTCAATTTTTTTAATTCTTATTTTATTATTCAAGCTTAAGGTCAACATTTCTTTTAAATAATTCAACTTCAGTATTTGATCTTTCCATAAATCCAAGTAAAATAATTATTCCTAAAAACTTACAGTACTGTTAACTACTGTACCAAAATGGTTTCTAGATGTCTTAGAAATATAAATACAAAGTTAGATAGACATAAACTTATTCATTCATACATAATTTATGGTAACATAAAATGTCAGGACTGTAGTAAATTTCACATTGTTTCACCTACAATCTAACGTGCTGTAGTTAAATCTCAGTATAATATTTCCTCACTCAATAAAATATTATTACTAGATAAATTGAATACCTATATTTTTAAATGTCAGTGGTTTTAAGTGGAGTTGATATGGTTAAATTATTTCTAATAACAGAGACTGTTTATTGCTAATATTTTTGGTCCATTATTTCTCTGATGTTCTGTCTGCCAAGCAAACAAAGTGAAGAGTGAAACTATCTTTTGTAATGACTCTTCAACTTTTGGATTCAGTGAAGCACCAGCAGGGAGTTTCTTACCCAATACTGACAAAAAGGAATGATCAACAGCAGTCTGTCTTTCCATGTCTATCTCTTGTTCTATTTTTTCTGCTATCCTATTCTTTTTGATATTTTGCCACACTTTTGCAATTAAATGCAACACACTTCTTGTTCCTACAATAATATTCAATCTCCCTTTTGCTACACATGTTTCACTGTTCATGCCAGGAGACTTCAAACCAGAACTCAATTTTTAAAAATGTTTTTCTTCCAACCACAACTTAACATGAAGTTTCTTTTTTTTTTAATTTTTTTTGTACTTTTACCAGCCCCTTGTCATATGTAAATGCTTCACTTTTTTCTCCTCTATATCATGCTACAACTAAATCAGAACAAATATGTATGACTCTTTTGCTGTATGACATTGGCACTAATGTCCCAATTCTGAATTTCCATAAGTGAGCATTTTTAGTGACATCTTTAACTATTGCAGCATACATACAATTTCAGGGCCCAGAGGCACATTCAGCTTGATGAACATATATATCCAGGATTACCACTGAACATCTGCCTTTAATGAGGAGACAAGAAGCTTTAGTGATCTATTAGTACAATTACTATTTGCCTCTTTTTGTCTCTACATCCTCCCTTCTATCTCCTCTTTATTCATACTAGCTGCACCAATGGCATTACTATTGAGAGTGAATCGAGAATATTTTTAATATTCTATAACACTTAAAGAACTTTCTGCAAATCTACCCTATTTGGAGTCCGAGGCCTACATCTGTTTCTATTTTGAATGTTGTAGATCAGAATCTGTTGTATTCATTTACCTAATAAGTGCTTCAACAATAGTTTTTTTTAATCTGAAAGCTAATAATACACATATACCAGAGGATAATAGTTAAGAATGAGTGGGGGAAAGTGCAATTAAGAAGGTCAGTAGAGTTTATTTGGATAAGCTGTCATCATGTTTGAGAAAATAGAAGTAAGCCTGGCACTTACAAGGGTAATTAAAGGTTTTTAAATTTTTATAAGATTGTATCTTTCTGCCTTTTATCTATGAACAGCTTGTGAGCTCTGAAAGTGAGAGCAATACAGTCTGATTCAGCTCCTGGTGTACTGGTAATGCTCCAAGATGGACACGACTCAAATATCTACCAGCAGTAGAAATAGATAACCAAATCATGGTACATTTAGATAAGAAATACTTACCCAAGCCAGGAGTCAGTGGTTTATGCCTGTAACCCTAACTACTTGGGAAGCTAAGATTGGAAAGGTTGCAGTTGGAGGCCAGCCAGAGCAAATAGTATGTGAG